TATGTATATATATATATATATATATATATATATATATATATATATATACTGTATATATATATTTAGATCTTATTTTCCAGAGAGATGCTTCTGTGTGCGTATTGGTGCTTTGGAGTCCTCTGTAGCACCTATCACATGTGGAGTACCTCAGGGATCTATACTTGGCCCCTCCTGTTTTCCCTTTATTTGCTCCGTCTGTGATATATTCTCCAGAAACATGGCATTACTTTTCATTTTTATGCTGATGACAGCCAAATTTATGTGCCATTAAAACAAGATAAACAGTAATCCATGAACCAACTCCTGGAATGTATGGCAGAAATTAGAGCATGGATGTCACAGAACTTTTTACATTTTAATGAAAAAAAGACTGAGGTCTTGTTGTTTAAGCCCATGGTTCCAAAGTCCATGCTGATCTGGGTCTTTTAACAAAACATCTGACTGAGAAAGCAACTAAACTGGGCATGAGGCTGGACAATGATTTTAAACTAGATGTACAGATTAAATCAGCAGTCAAGTCCAGTTTTTATCATTTAAGACAACTGGCCAAGGTCAAACCATTTCTGTTACGACATAATTTTGAGATTTTAATCCATGCTTTCATTACAACTCATCTGGACTACTGTAATTCTTTTTTTGTTTTCTTTTTTGTTTTTAAATCTTATTTTGAAGACACATTTTTCTCTATGGCTTTTAACTCTGCTTGAAAAGTTGGTTTTACTGTTTTTAAGTTATTTGTTTAACAGTTTTTACTGTTTGCTGTTTTGTGATTTTGGCAGTTCATTACGTTTATGGGATCGGTTGATTTTATGGTTTTTACGCTTGTATGTGTTAATATACAGCATGTATTGTATATACCACAATACTAATATGTGCTCATATCCCCAAGATCTTGGCTAAAGTTATCATAAAAAGCTAATCCGAATGAGAGATATTTTCTTTCTACGATACCTTCTGCACTGGCCATTGAGCGGACAGACCACAAAGAGCCACGGCGGAACGAGTAGTTCCTGTGGGAGTTGCTGGAGGCACAGGAAGGGCTGACAGACAGACGGCGAGTTGCCAGGTTCAACACTTCTTCTGCTAGTGGGGTCAATGTCAAAAACAACAGGCTGTCAGGGCGCAAAGAGATCGTCAGAAATTTGCCAGATTTGGATTTGTGCGCTCGTAGTCCACACCTTCCTCCTCCTGCTCAGGCGGAGGGCTGCACGTGGGCTCGTAGCAGGCCTCCTGAGCCACGGGGATGGCCGTGATGATGCTCGCCTCGCGGCCTAAACGCCGCTTCTCCTCTTCCTGTTGCAGGTTCTTAAGGATGTGCTCGGCCCGCTGGTGGGAGCGCGACACTGCCCGCGCAGAAAAGGATTTCTAAACAGAAAATATAGACACAAAGAGTCCAGAAACAGTCTGTATCCTTCAGGAATGCGTGTCGACAGCCACTCTAGGCTACGTCCAAGGAGCGTTTTGTGATTTCAAACAACTGAACAACACGTTAATACAGTAAGTCTCATCCAGCGCTTTGGTCTCATGCTCGAATATCCTCCTGGAGAACACTGCTCAAATGTTAAATAGGATCAATCATGACACAAATACATGTTTTCAGACTGGAATTTGGAGAATTTACTGTATCTCGTGTACAGTAAATGCCTCACAGCACTCACACAAGCGCTCGTACACATTTAAACACTGCCGGCTCAACGCATGGTATGAAAAACATTCACAGCAAAGTCATTCTTCGTCTAATGACCATGCAATCAACAGCACGACACGCACAGTATGTCTGTATGCTCGATGCATGCTGTTACTGGCCTAATCTGTCTTTTAGCAATCAAAGCAAATGGTGGATTTGAATACATCTCTGAACAAGATGCAGCATCCATGAAACTGCCAGAGACATGAAGACGATTTTCCCTTCCTGTCGTCACTGAGCAGAGTTAACAAGATGCATCAGCACAAACATCCGGACAGAAATACCAACTTACTATGGTATGGACTGACTGAATTAATGTGGGGTACTAAAAACAAAGACAGTTGATAGATAAAATTATAGGACATGTGCTTGCAGGTTGTAATCAGAAACTAGCAAACATTGACAGTCATGATTTGTAAAAAAAATAAAAAAATAAAATAATAAGATAAGAATGTGAAAGGAGTTTTTTTTTTTTTAAGAGTAAACATCTTACAACTCTTGAAAGTGTTTATCTCCCTAAATTTACTTTCAAAAGGCAACCATTTGGATTAAAGCTCAGACTTACAGACTGGTCTTCGTTGATCGGGTCCTGGACGCTGCCAGTTGTCTGCGGCACCCAGGGGGGGTCGAATATAGGGACGCAGGGCATGCCCAGGATTGGAGACGGCAGCGTGAAGTTGATGCTGGGTGGAGGGATCTGACGAGAGAAATCAATCCCAAAAAGGCTGATTAGGCTGGACAAAGATTCCTAAACTGAACAAAACTAATGAACACATTAAAGGCCTCACATTACTTGATTCACTTTTGGAATGAAACAAATGAATTTACATTAATATATTGTTCTTTCTCTATTCTACAAAAAGTTGCTGTTTGTGACACGTGAACATTCCTAATTACTTAAAAAATTATACATGTTCATTACATTTTTCACTAAAGGATGTCAACATCATTTTACTTTACAACTTGCGATGTTGAATTCATTAGCTCTACAGTTATCACTATATAAGCTCTGGGTCCAACACTATAAATATTTAATAGTGCTGAAGTAAATGTCATATATATTAATTCTGGAGCTTATGCTATAATAATAATAATAATAATAATAACAATAATAATAATAATAATAATAATGTGTATGTATTGTCATCATTGTGTGTTCCCATACAATGGCAACATTGGCTCTCTGCATTTAACCCATCCACCAAGAGGCAGCGCATTGGGCGACCTTTGGAGGCGCCCGGGCAGCAACTGGGGATGGGGTGTCCTGCTCAGAGACACCATGAGATGTGCAATGACCTGGGATCAAACCCGAGTCAGCTGCCCTGCCTCTACACCATATTAGCTCTGAAGCTAACATATATATAAATATATATTAGCTCAGGGGCTTACACCATATATAAAATTTCTTAAACTAACACTATTTGGTCTGGAGCTAATGCCGTATATATTAGCTCTGAAGCTACTTCTATTAGGTCTGGAGCTAACGCCATATATATTAGCTCTGGAGCTAATGCTATTAGGTATGAAGCTAACACTACTAGGTCTGACGATCATGCCATATATATAAGGTCTGCATCTAACGCTATTAGGTCTGACGCTAATGCTATTAGGTCTAGGGCTAATGCCATTTATATTAGCTCTGGAGACTGTTAGGTCTGGCGCTAACAACATATATTATCTCTGGAGCTAATGATATTAGGTATGAAGCTAACACTATTAGGTCTAACTTCTGTTCATTCCGTACTGGTCAGATGGATAGGTCAAGATAATTACTTGCTTTATATTAGGCTAAAAGTATTAATTTAGCTTTGATACATATGTTTTTAGTATCAACTTCGGACATCATTCAGACAAATCAGTTTTGAGATTATGGCACTTTTGTGGGGGCCAAATATGTTTTAAAAAGGTCCTTGTCTGGCCCACAGGCCACTTGTTGAATAGGTCTGTTTAAGCTTAATATCAGTAAAACAGGTCACTCTTATAAATGAGTCCTCGAGGCTCAATGAGACTAACATGTATAAATAAAGGTTGAATGAAAAAAGAAAAGTAGTTTGTGTTGGCAAAGATTGATAACGTGTGACAGCTATATTGTATTGGATTGATTCCATAAAGTAATACACAATAGGTGTACATCCATTGATAACTTTCTGAAAGTTTAATTTATACTGTGATTTGTGAGATATTTTGAAAACAGACACACAAACATGAGAACATACAGATAAAAACATCGCCACCTTCTGGTAGTAGGCAATGCTAAAAACATAGGCAACATTCTGTAGAAACAAGACGTGACATTTTCTTCCGTACCTTAAAGATTTGCTGGGCTCCCTCCTCCATGCGAGGCCACACCTGGTAGCGGAAACGCCACAGGGTGTAGAACTTCAATATGGAGTTGATGCGCTGACACGCCTCCTGGTGCTGGAACTCTGCCATCATCATTTCAGACACGGCGTCAGGGACCTTCACTGCGCACAGGAGGAACATGGCGGCTGCAAGGGGATCCAGAAAGGTCGAGGTGAAGAAAATGAGAAAATGCACACACAGAAAGGTTAAAAAAAAATCTAATGAAAAGGAACATGTAGTACTGAAACATAAAATTTGAGTTGTTATTTAAAGGGAAAAACCTTCAAATATGACCCACAGATCAGTGGAGCTGGACTCACCAGCTGCAGCGGCCATATGCTCATCCACACTGAGCAGAAGTTCCCAGGCTGCTGGCTGGATGTCTCCATACATGTCATCTGTGAGGATGGGAGCAGCTTTAATAAGCAGTGACAGAGGAGCTGGGGACAAGCTCATCACCTGAAAAAACAAAACAAACAAAAACAAAAAAGGATTTGTTTATACCGTGACACTCTGATGTGACTGAGAGTCCGACACTTAAGATAATATAAATTATGTGACATACAGGGACATGTTTTGCCTTCCACAATACATAAACACTTCTAATTTTCACCCCTAAAATGTTGGGAATGAGCTGTGTCCTTTCTTGTAAAAGGCATAATCGTACAATGTATCAAGCAGAGGGCACATGAAGGCTACTTTCAAGTCATGGCCGTTCACTTAAGTTGCACTTTCACATTCAGCGTAGACAGAGCAGGGAGCTGTGTAACATATTTTGCTGAACATGGTAATCAACAATAATACATTCTCTTCAATTCTGCAACCCGCTTGTGCCTCTCAAGTTAGCAAGCTAACGTCACTTCACCACTTGCTCTTGCCGAGATCGGACGCTTTTCCCCTCCCCTCTCTCTCTGTTTTACATTGCTGCTTTGTCTGTCTGTGAAACTGCTTCTGAGCCTCTCTTGCATATCTTCCGAACCATAATTATGGACTTGTTTTGATCAGTTGGTCCCTCAACACAATTGATAACATTTCAAAGAAGAGAAGACAGGCTTTAGGTGAGCCGATTCGCCCTGTTGGCATGCACGCAGCTGGATATCTCATCGACTTGGAAGACTTGATGATGTGTCTATCTCTGCTGCCATTTGTGGATTTTAAAGATGCATATTTAATTGGATTTATGATAACTGGTTCCTACTTTTTGGATTCAGCTGGTTGCTGGTTTTATCAACAATAAAGGAAGTCGTCAGCAGCAAATTGGGACCCGATCAAGCTGCTTGCTTTTATGAAGGCTTGGTTTGTGCCTCGAGTACCCAGACTCAAATGCTTTGGGCAGAATGGATCAGAACTTGGGGATTTTACTCAGTCACGTTCTATCGGTGTGGCCATGTACTTTGTAATTTGGACATTTTGGAAATGAGTGGACCAACACAGACTCAAGGTAGATGTCATTAAGTTCTGCCTGTCCCCAAAACAACTGTGTGTTTATCTGAATTTGGCTCCCTTGGCTGGCCTTGAAGGCCATCTTATCTGAATTAGCCTGGAGAACATGTGATCTGACGCCCACCACCCCCTCCCTGAGGAATTTCCAACTGATAACCAGATGAAACCAGCTGAATAAGCATTGAGTCATTATTTCAGGACTCTTGGATTCTCAGACGTTATCCTTGGCCATTCCCCGACATCCCTGGAGAATGTTTATGAATCTCACCGGAGGACACTGGCTGATTATTCCATCCTTATTAGAACTCTTACAGTGCCCTCGAGAGCGTGTATGGACATTGCTCACTGCTCTCGTTGTCTGCCCCCTCTGCAGAATATTTACATCACTATGTGCTTGTTTGTGTGAGGTGTTTTTTTAATATCAGAGTTTTTCTTCTCAGGCAAGAAAAAAGTCTGATAGGAATTTTTTCGCCTCCAATTCCTACGTGTCCAGTTTCACTACTTTTTATCTGTCTAAACAGATCTCACTTGTAAAAGTCTTCTAGGCTCAATGTGACTTATCTGTCTAAATAAAGGTTGAATGAATGAGCGTTTAGATAACTTAGCATAGGCTATCGTCTTGTAAAACTTTGTCCAGGACAATAAATCTAACGTAGAGGTAAAATATATATCAGTGTTAGTAATGTTATCTTTTTCGTCCTCAATGAAATGTGTTGTTTGTCTGAAATTTTTAGTTTTCTGTAAAGAAAAAAAAAGCCACTGCAGTCAAAACTAATTAGACCTTCACCATTGAACAGATAAGGGCGTTTCATTGTTTAATTTATTTTTATGTAACACTCTTGATAACTTCATGGTGAATAGTGGAGGGTATAAAATGTGAACGCACGTTAGGAAGACCGTTTTTATGGCCAGTGTGCGTGGACCTGATTAGCTTAGCTTCATGATTGCTACCAGCTGTGCTAAATAAACAAGCCCCTCTCCACTCACTGTTTTCTTAGATTCTTGGGGGTGGACAACATATTAATTATTATTATTATATACATTATTTTCTATTTTCTTCTGAAAGTGATAATTGTAGCTAAAGTCAGAAACCCCTTCACCTGGTTGCGAATGTACTTCAGCATGCCCGTATCTTTCTTCCCTTCTGTGTTTGAGTCGGTGGGTTTGCTTTTCATGGACGGAGTTCGCAGGCAAGATTTGTCTGAACACTGTAAAGAATAAAAAAAGACACTTTAGTAGACTGTTAGCTTGTTTCCGCTACATTTTTAAAAAGCAGAACAGGGATTTGTTTCTTTTCTAAGCACCTCTTTGCTTTTCTTCGCCCGTCCGATGTTGCCGGAGGCGCTGTCCTCTCTCAGGCTGTCCACCGACTCGCTGTACACGAGCTTGATGGCGCGGACGAGGCGGGCGCAGGAGCGGCCGTGGTGCTGATAGCAGCGTGGGTGGCAGAAGTCTATGTGTGTGCAGATGAAACTCTGCTGGTTGCACAACAGGATCATAATCTGTGCAGAGACAGCAGAGAGGAGGGGTATTAATATGAAACGAGGAGCAAACACAGGAAGACCATCGGCACTGACAGAGACGCACGTGGAGCCAGGACATGTTGCGGTGATAGTTGTCCTCAGTTCCTCCTGAACCCTGACCCTCTGGTTCAATGCTGGGCTCACTGGTGCTGAAGGGACTTCCTGAAACATTTAACACAAAAAATGAGTCAAAATGCTCGTATTTACACAGAAAATCAAAATAGTCCAGGTTTTTGGGATAGACTTTTACGCTTTTTTATTCAACTTTATTCACACAGTTACATTTATTTTTATTATTAAAATGCTTATAGTTGGCCCAAGTGGCTGGGGAGAGAGAAGTCTGGGCCTCCATACTTAGGCTGTTACGCGACCCAACCCCCGATAAGCTGAGAAAAATGAATGGATGGATGGATTTTCTTGATTTTTAATCAAATGGTTTCAAATAAGGGAGGCACGGTGGCTCAGTTGGTAGAGCTGCTGCCTCTCAGTTAGAAGGTTGCCAGTTCATATCCCAGTTTGGGGGCCTTTCTGGGTAGAGTTAGCATGTTCTTTCCATGCATGCGTGGGTTTTCTCTGGGTACCCGGTTTCCTCTCGCAGCAGTGCGTTTCCCCTACCATGATACATGCAGCCCCCTATCAATTCCTCACAATTACATAGCGCTAAGCTAGCGGCGCACAATACAGATGCGCTAGCTAAAAAGCTACAGTTAGCACCCCATTTCCATCAAGCTGAGCAGTCTCCAGTCCAGTCCTCCCCCAACTCGAAAACTGTCGATACAAACAGTGCGTGCAACACAAACTAAACTAGGAGAAACACTGCACACACCAACAACATGCATGTTAGGCTGATTGATAACTCTAAATTGTCTCTAGGTGTGAGTGGTTTTTTGTCTCTATGTGTCCCTGTGATGGATTGGAGACCGTCCAGGGTGTCCCCCACCTTTTGCACAGTGACTGCTGGACATGGGCACCAGTGACCCCCGCGACCCAGAAAGGAAGAAGCGAGTAAAAATAATGGATGGATGGATGGTTTCAAATAAAATAAAGACATACACTTTTGAGATAACTACAATAAAAGTGATGCAGCTCCAGTTTCAATTATTATGTCCGTTGTCTGTAACGTATGCACTTTTCTAACAGTACAACTAATAGAGGCACATGGACAAGCCTTGATCAGGAGTGGGAAAACCTCGACTCCTGCATGTCTTACCGATGTCAGTCACCGTGTCCCTGCTCTGTGTTTGTGACAGCAGCCCTTCTTCGTTCTCTGACTCCGAGTCCTGCCGAGACAGCTTGGTGCTCTTCAGGCTCCCCGCCCGGCGGATCGAAGACAGCGAGCCTCCTTTCTTCACACGGAAACTGCGGGCCCCTTTAATCTGAAGCAGCCGGGAGCCTCCGATGCGGATCTTCCTGACAAGTACTGGGGAGCAGGGGAGTGGGGAGAGATTATCTACGATCAAAAACGAGCAGTGAGCGACGGGGGTGTGGCGATGAAACACGCAACCAGAGCTACACGACGACAGGCCTCACCCTGAGCCTCCTGGGTCTTCTTGTCGTCGCAGGTGGTGTCAGACTTCAGAGTGTGGCTGCTGCTGTTGAGCGAGTCGTGCCCGTCTTCATCGTCGAGGATGCCCGCAAAGCTGATCTTCCGCTCATAGCGATGGCGGCCGAGCTCTGGGTCCAGACGAAGACGGCAGCTGTCCAGGTCCTACAGCAAACATTTTACCACCTCAGAGTTATTATACATCCAGCACTCTTAGTTATGCTTACTTCTAATGAATTTTCTTTGAGCTCTTTTAGTATTTTTGACTCTGAATAGATCTGACGACTGACCACGAGCGGTTCAGTGCGAGGGCGCGGTAAGCAGGGGAAGGTCTCTCGCAGGAAGGTGGTGATTTCCAACAACAGCTGGCAGGCAGCCATCTTCAGCGCAAACGGGCAGCCGCATTTTGTAGGATTCACTGTATCTTTAGGACAAAAACAGAATAACTTGGTAAAAAGATTAACTTGTACTGCAAAACAAACCGTTTCCTGGCAGTTGAATCTGTTTTTATAATAGACACTTTTTTGGTAAAATATAATGAAAATAGGATTTATTGGGATTTTTACATGTAAATTAAGTATTCTGGTATACTCCAAAAAGAAAAATAGAGGAAATGACAACAATGCTTCAGGTAAAAAAAGCCATTTACTAAGATATCCTAATATATTTAGGACATACTGTACATAGGACAAATGGCTACTCAAAGTTTTGTCAGGAGTTTCATGTGCGGATTAGAAAAAGTCCATAATAAATCCAAACTCGTCTTTCAAATTCCTCGACAGAGGAAAAAAAGAAAATCGTTGAAAGAATGTGCCAATCAGCTCTGCGAGGTGCTGGCAGACATCTTTAACACCTCACTTACCCTGGAGACAGTTCCCACCTGCCTGAAGACTGCCACCATCATCCCAGTCCCAAAAAGCTCTACAGTGACTGGTCTGAATGACTATCAGCCAGTGGCCCTCACACTGATAGTCTCTAAATGTTTCGAAAAACTGGTCATGGCTCACATCAAAACAACCAGCAACATCAAAGAGGACCCTCATCAGTATGCATACCGTGAGAACCGATCAACAGAGGATGCCATCTCCTCTGTGGTCCACACTGCGCTCAACCACCTGGAACAGAAAAACTCTTACGTCCGTATGCTCTTTGTGGGCTTCACATTCGCCTTCAACACCATGAATCCCCAAACCATGATGGACATATTCACACTAGGATTAAGCTCCTCCATTTGCAACTGGGTACTAGACTTCTTAACAAACAGACCACAGTTAGTGAAGAACCACAACTTCTCCTCCTCCACCATAACCCTCAGCACTGGCTCTCCTCAGGGGTGTGTGTTGAGCCCCCTCCTGTTTACTCTGCTCATGTATGTTGTGCAGCTACCCATCCAGGCTGTCACAATGTAAAGTTTGCAGATGATACAGCGGTGGTGGAATGCATCACAAACAATGATGAGACCAGCTACAGGCAGGAGATGGAACACCTGGAGAGCTGGTGCAAAGAGAATAACCTTCACATCAACGTGAAGAAGACAAAGGAGATGATTGTGGACTTCAGAAGGAACAAAAACACCTACACCCCCCTGAACATAGGAGGATCTGCGGTGGAAGTGGTCTCCAGCTACAAGTACTTGGGTGAACACATGAATGACAACCTCAGCTGGAGCAACAACACCACCAGCCTGATCAAGAAAGCTCATCAGAGACTCTACTTCCTCAGATGGCTGAGACGAGCTGGTCTGGGAAGCTCAGTCCTCACCTCCTTCTACAGGTGTGCAGTGGAGAGCATCCTGTGCTCCAGCATCAACGTGTGGCATGGAGGCTGCACAGCTGCAGAAAGAAAAGCTTTGCAGAGAGTGGTGAAGGCTGCACAGAAGACTGTTGGAGTCAGCCTCCCCACCATCACAGACATCTACACCTCCAGATGCAGGAAGAGAGCCACCTGCATCATGAAGGACCCCACTCACCCAGCACACACACTTTTTGCCCCACTCCCCTCAGGAAGGAGGTTGAGGAGCGTTAAGTGTAGAACCACTAGACTGAGGAACAGCTTCTACCCTGAGCCTGTTAGACTCATGAATCTCTCACCAGCATAATCACTGTGAAAAACCATATCATGTTGCTGCTGATCTGTTTCAATGTTGCTGCTGATCTGTTTCATGTTGCTGCTGATCTGTTTCAATGTTGATGTGTTCATGCATGCTCATCTGCTCACAAAGACTCATGTTCATGTTTGTGCTGATGTTCGACGTAATGTTTTTATGCTATTAGTGCTTAGTGTATATTCAGTTTATGTTTAACTTAGTTCATATCTTAGATGTTATCATTGTTTTTCTTTTACATTTTATTGTTGGATGTAACTGGGACCCTGTGTACATAATTTCGCTCCATCACATGTACCACATCAGGTGCGAATGACAATAAAGAATCTCTGACTCTGACTCTCTGACTCCATTCGCCTTTTGTTAAAATGTCTTGATGACATCAAGGCGTGGATGGTTTCAATTTTTTTAAGTTTTCATGATAGAAAACTGAAGTCATTGTGTTTAGCCCTAGCTCTACTGTTGTCACTAATCCTGCAAATCTTGACTCTCTTCAGCCATATCTTAAGCAGTCTGTTACGAATCTCAGGATGGTTTTAGAATCTAAGATTGCACCCTGTATTCACTGGTTAACTGGACATCATTAACTTCACGCAGATTCTCACTGGTACATTTTCATCTTTAAATCACTTCTTGGTCTGCTGCCTTCATACATCTCCTCCTACATGTCTCTGCGTGAGTGCAGCTACAGCGTGCGCTCTCAGGACATTAATACCTGCAGTGTTCCCTCAGTGAGGACTGAACTAGGCAAAAGGGCCTTCTCCTACTCCGCTCCTGTTCCTTGGAATATCTTACAAAAAGACCTGAAACTCTTGACCTTGACCACTCTAAGTGGCTTTAAGAATCTGTTGGACTCCTGGCAGGGACCAATGCAGACATGTTCCTGTTTTTAGTTTTCTACGTTTGCCTTATAATCTAGCTGGTTTTGTTACTTCTTTTTTTCCATCTTATTTGTAAAAAAAATAAATAAATAAATAAATAAAAATCTGTATGCCTTTTTATAACTGTCTATTGTTGTCGCTATTGTCCATTATTGTCATCATTCTTTGTTGAAATCAGGTCTCTTGTAAATGAGTCCTCGAGGCTCAATGGGATTTACTTGTCTAAATAAAGGTTGAATGAATAAACAGATTAACTCTGTTCTACAAAAAAAAGCTTCTTCCAGTTAAGGCAAATAGCTAGGCTTAAGTTCGTGTTGACCAGATCTGACCTTGAAAAAAATATTCTATGCCCTTATTACTACCCATCTAGACTCGTTATGTTGGGGTCAGTCAGGTGTCCCTTTCACGTCTCCAGCTCATCCAAAATGCTGCAGCTCGCTCTTAACAGGAACTCGTAGGTTTGCGCACATTTCACCAGTTTTGTCCTCCCTTCACTGGCTCCTTGCACATATCAGAATGGATTTAAAAATTCTCCTGTTGACCTTTAAGTGTCTAAATGGCCTTGCACCCTTATACTGTACCTCTCTGACCTACTTCAACTATATGTTCTTTCTCGGGCGCTGAGATCATGGGACCAGTTGCTTTTGGTTGCACTAAAAACCAGGTTGAAGCTCAGAGATCGGGCTTTTTCAGTCATGGGACCTAAACTCTGGAACAATCTGCCCCCCAACATTAGACAGGCCCCGTCACTTCCTGTTTTTAAATTTCTCCTAAAAACACACCTGTATTCACTGACGTTTAACACAGTGCGATTTGATTTACTATTTCACTGTTTCTCATTGTTTTTGTGTTTTTATGTTTTTACGTTTTATGCTTTTTGATCTTATTGCTAAGCACTTTGACAGCTGCTGTTTTAAATGTTCTTTATGAATAAATTTGACCTTACTTGACTAAATTACGGTTGAACTCTGCTAATAAAGCACGTGTAGTTTATTGTTTTCAAATCAATCATTGTGATTATTCAATTACTTTTATTCCTCCAATACAAAACAAAAACATAAAACAGAAGTTTTTATAAAGATGCCGATCCAACTCACTGTCATCTAAATAGTCCTCCTCCTCGTCTTCTTTTCGCATTCTTCGCTTGGTTTCTTCATCATAAATGTAACCCAGGATGTTGGCGGGGCTCTCGCTATCTGAGTGACAGAGTTCACTGAGCCTTGTGCCGATTGCCTGAAATATAAAACGTGTTTCAGATAAATGAAGCTGCGTTACAAACCGCGACATTGCATGTTTCTGTGAAATGTTTAACCCACGTCTCCCCACTGGCAGAAATGTTTGGCAGCGTTCCACTGGAGCTTCTGGTTTCTTTTGTTGCCCACTATCGGTGACCGGCCCCTGGACAGGCCTTTCTTGGTGATGTTTACATGGTGGCCCTTCATCCACTCAGGCCAGTTACCACGGTTACAGCGGTGAACAAATCGGGCGCATTCGAGGAAGAGGGAAGCCCGCGCCACGACAGGAGCCTCCTAAAATAGACAGGAAGTAAACATGGAGTAATTAAGCAGCTCAAGTTCAGTCAAGTCATCTGGACGGTTTCTTTTTTTTTTGTTGAGATGTTTCGTCCTTCATCCAAAGGACTTCATCAGTCTGAGGAGCCACAACAAACTGAGTCCCACAAGCAGCAAACTCGCATAGTGGGCGGATCAGTTTGATGGTGATAAGATGGTTTCTGGAATCCACCCTCTCCCCCGTTGACTCCTCTGAGGCAGCCATAGCCTTTGATGTTTTAAACTACTTTGGCTATGGCTGCCTCAGAGTAGAGTTACATTCAGGCCCAAAAAATCTGACTCGAACCGGCCCCAGTCCGTAGCCATCATTTTTTAACCCCACCTGACCCGACAAATTAACAGTAATTATAGGTTCGAACCCGAACCCCCGCCGCACCCCCCGGGACATTTTAAAAGCTTTGACTGCTTATATAGTTATTAACGGTTTGCAGACGTGTGCAGCTAAGGGGGCAGTAGATTGGAGCTGAGGGGGAGTTTGTCCTTTCATGGCCGTCAAAGCGCATTAAATCCCTGGTTCTGCCTCCACTCTGCATTATTCAGATACGGACTCTGCTCTGACATGTCAGATATTTTGGGATCTCACCTGTTTGGGTCATCGGCCGCATGCATTAAGCTGAGCGCAGCGGCTGAATGAACATCCATTTGTGCGTGATGGATCGCTGCCTGGTAGTATAGTCACATCTGAAGCTTAACTGAACATTTTTTTTTTACCTCTTTCAAGGCCAAACAGTGTGCAGTGAAATGGCTGCGTGTGGCTGGTGATGTATGGCAAGCCATGTTGCCATATAATTGGATCGTCAGCCACACATGTCTGCTGACACAATTGAAAGCCCAACACCAACCCGGCTCGCCCATCCAGCACATTACTATGGCCCAGTCCGACCCAAATTTGGGTCGGGCCGGGCCCAGGTTAGAAATGACAGCTCTATCTCAGAGGAGTCAACGGAGGAGAGGGCAGCTTCCAGAAACCATCTTATCACCATCAAACTGGTTGGCCCACTATGTGATTGTACTACTTGTGGGACTCAGTTTGTTGTGGCTCCTCGGGCTGATGAAGTCCTTTGGATGAAGGACGAAACGTCTCAACAAAAAAAGAAACCGTCCATATGACCTGACTGAACTCTGTAGGATTTTGTACCTGGATTATTGAGCATGAACTTTGATTTTTTTTTTTTTATACGTTTTTAACGAGAAACCTACCAAGTCTAGAGCGGCAGCAAGGATCGAGGCATCCGGAATGGTTCCCGGTTCACAGCAATTGAGGAGAAACTGAAAGCGCTTCATACCCTGTCGGATTGCGCCAAGATTCACCACGTTTTTATTTTTCATGGCCTCCTGACTGGCTGCGAGTCGCTCCTGAAAACCATGAGGACCTGGAGGGCGAGGGAAAAGAAAGGAGGAAGAAGAAAGGGGTATGATGCAGTAAGTGAAAGGATTTTTTTTCCCCCAAATAAATTATGAGCTACAGACTCTTGGACTGCGTGAAGCAACATCTAGGACATTTAACAATTTCCACCAAAGAGTCACGACAAATGAAGCTGAGATGATACACAGCCACGAGCAAATCACATTTGAGTTTTTCACTTCCTGCTGTCTTGAAGACTCAACGGTGAGAAAAATGAATAAGACACAGGCTTAACTGACAAGGATACTATCAAGCATCCCTATATACATACATACATACATACATATATACATACATACATACATACATACATACATACATACATACATACATACATACATACATATATATATATATATGTACATATATATATATATATACATATATATATACATATGCACATATATATACATATGCACATATATATACATATGCACATATATTTACATATATACATATATATATATATATGTACATATATATATACAAAGTATATATATATATATA